ACTTGCTGACTTCTCTACTGCGCAGCCAAAAAAACTCATCTTAAGTTTGCCCAAAAAAAAATATATAGAAAGTAGAAAGGGGACGACTAATTTGCGAGTGTTTTTCTGGGTGAGAAAAATAATCAATTTGGTTCAATTGTCCAACTTTGAGAGCAATGGGCAGGAAAGCTCTTTTAAGACGACCCCTCAAAACATAGGAGTTCTGACAAGTGTTTTTTGGTGAAAAAGGGAGGAAGCTATGAGAAGGCGGCAGAAGCCTTTTTTTATAAAAATTTTGCGCAGGTTTCCGGCAAAACAGGGGAAGGAGCAAGCGAAGCGAGCGAAGCTCACGAAGCAGTTTGGTGTGGGCTATGCTGTGACGGAAGTCTTTCTAGTTCGTTTCCGGTAAGTGTGAGAAAGTTGGCTTAGTTACCTAACATGTTTGAGCAGATTGTTTTCAGAACTTTCTTAAAACACAGGCTGGTTTCAAAATGAACATTTTAGAGCGGATACAAGCCTTCTGCAACTGCAACAGACTCGTATAAGACGCAGACCATCGGAAGAAAGGACAATAACTCAAAAAACCAAACCCTGATCTCTAGCAAAATTAATATAGTTGGTAAACTTAATTCATAGTTTTTCGGTGGGTATAAGGTAATATCTGAATAAAGACTCTGCATGAAAAGTCTTCTAGAAATGAATAAAACGGAAAACAGCACTGAAAAAAGCCAAATAACTTGAGAAACCGATTTATGACCTCTAATCAAACTAATACAGATGAGCAGCTCTTTCTCAGAACTTTTGGATAAGCGTAAACTGGCTCTGGAACGAACATCTTGGACCTGTGAGAAGTCTTTCGCAGCTCAAACAGACTTGTACAATAAACACGGACCAGCTTAAAAATCAGCATGTTGCTCAATAAACCAATCGTCTACTCTTATTCGGACTTCTCTAGATCACTTGCACATTTTTATTGCATCTTAATAACTATATGAGTTTTCTAAAACAACCATTATGAACAAATGAAAACGATCTCGGAATCATATCTATACTCGGACCCCTGCTCGAAGAGTTCAAATTACTCTAGCGAGCACTTAAGCACCCATTTTGTGTTAGCGAGATTTTCAGCAATAGATTGAGGATGAGATGTTATATATATCTCATAATGTTACAGGGTTAGAGGAGCAACACTTAATTTTATATAGCAAGTTTTTTGAAATAAAAAAAAATTTTGCTCCCGTTGATTGCAGTGATTACAACGTGTTGGGTAACGGAAGCGAACTTCGTCCGGCACGTTGTTTCCACCGCGCGTCACCTCTGACTCTTTACCACGCATAGTAACTCATTTACGCATCGTATTCATGTCTGGTTTAACACTCCGCAACGACCAATATGCATTCGTCGAGAGACTCATTAATTGACTGTAGCATGTGGTCAAATTCTCCACGTTGCCTATGTTTACGTCATAAGCCCGTCCGGACTCCAGCGCTTAACTGCACAAAACGTCTCATTTGAGGTTTTGTTTTCGGCTTTGCTGCTTGCCAGCAAGTTCATGAGGGATTTGCGATTCTACGCTTTCTGGTTGCACAGTATCCGCTCCAGTTATAGAAACTTCTTCTTCAGCTCTTCCTGCTAAAACGAGGAAAAAATTGAGCCACCAGACTAAAAGAGCCCCTGGTTGACTTGAAAAATGGATTGCTAAACAGAGTGAGAATGGAGCAAAGGAAAGGAAGAAATTTTAGAAGCCTGTTTTTGTTCTTTCAAAATCTTAGTTTCTTTTAATGTTTCTACGTAACGGTAGTGATTTAGAACTTTTCTTATAGAGTTTATTGTTGACCCATATAAACAGAAAATTTTAGCTGCAAATAACAATTTTGAAAAACGCATGAGGTGCAATGAAAAATTTGAACAAAGAAGAAAAAAAGGGAAACAAAATTCATACGGAAGCACCAAGCAAATAATTTTATAATGTCGCTTGAAATATACAACACATTTTTAAACTGGAAGACCATCGTTAAGAAAAGTTTGGGAACCATTTGTTAGTAAACTGAGATGATAAAGACAACTGCTTAATTATGAAGTTCATCTAATGGTACTTCAGAAAAGCAGCAATGCAATTTTAACAAGTACTTAATAAACTGAAGGCGTATACAATTATTGTTGAACACAGATACTCACCAAAAATGAAACAGAAATCTTGATGAGCCCGTGATTTTCGTGGCAAGCAACGAAGTTTTATTTATTGTCATTCACATAACCAATAGACTAATAATACAGTACAATAGAAAATTGAAATGAACGCTAACTGGAAACAACTATAGTTGAAAAAACAATAAAATAAAACCTTTCAAATAAACCACGGCATGGTAAACAAAAAAAAAAAAATAGCACTCGCTACTCTTAGGAATCGCTAATTTTATAATACTCTTCTTCTTGACCGCAGTACAAAATATTTTTAAAGAAGAATACCATATAAATAAAAGTATTTCATTGGGGGCAAAATTCATATAAGGGGTATCACAGTTTTTCGACTATGTATTCAACCGAAAGCTCTGTAGGCAGATCAGTCTGAAAGCAAAAAAATAAAGCTGTATATGGAATTTGTTGCACTTGATAGAACTCTAAAAAATCTTGTCTCTTTTCTTCTTTAAACATTAGATTTTAATTTATTTATTTGACCATAATTTTAGAAATACAAGTAACCGTTTAGCCCAACAAATTAATGAGAGTAAAAATCAAACAAGATCAAAAAGAAAACTGCACCAGCAACGTAAAAACTTAAACAAAATTAGAATGGAACTGGAACATCTAGTACTAAAGCAGCCGTCATCGAGAATGGTTAGGAAGAAGAAAGAGGAAAAACAAATAATAATTTTGAAGATGAAGAAACGAGGAAGGAAAGAAAAAAGAACTAAACAAAATTAAACAAAGTACAGTAGCGAAGAAATTTGGAATAGCTTATGAAAACGTTAAAACAATCGCACAAACGCAAAGTCCACAGTGTACAAATAATGAGTAACGATCAGTCAGGTGATCGGTTAGCTAGAATAGAAGTGCATGTGATCTTGAATTAATGCGGTGCATGACCGAAATCAGTTAAGTGCCAACAGAAAGAAACATTGATAAGCTGAACTAAACTTCCGTCTCAATAAAAACCTTTTTTGAAGAGAGGTTTTTGACACTTTTGTTAGTTACCTTCTTTGCTGTAACACCAAACGCTGTCACCTGTCTAGAATTAGTTGTAATTTGACCCGTAGAAGTTGACGATGTGTTAACAGGATTAGTGCTAGAAGCGAGTGTAGCTGAGCTTTGTTGACGGAATGATTTATCAGACCGCCTGTCATTAGTCGAACCACTGCCAACATTTGGAGTCTCTATACCCAACTGCAATATCACTTGCAAAAAACATGAAATTTTAAATATTTTCTTCACCTTTGCATAACAGTAAAGTTTAAAATTGCGTAAGAAAGGTCAAAATTTAGAGTGTAAAATTGAAAACAACTTCAAGATCAGAGTGCAGTGTTGAAATGCATTTACTGCATTTTCCTGTTAAATTTTCTAGGTATAGCAAAGATATGACCAACAGCAGCTGTTTTTCATATGCATAACGTTTACCGAAGTTTGATCATTGTTGATATCTTCATCATTATTAACCAAGATACTATGTTGATAACCACAAAGACTCCGTTGACTTCCGGGCTGTGTAATAGTGCCCTAAGTGTTACATTTATTTTCATATTAATTCATAACTTTTTTTTTATACTATATGCTTAAAGTATGTAATGCGAGAAAAAATTTCAAAAAAGTTGATACTACCTTGTTCTGAGCGCTAGCAGAATAAAAAGGTCGGTCTTCTGCAAAAAAACTTTCTGGAAAACCGGTGGGATTTTCGTTGATTGATGACAGTGTTTTTCGTACTTGTTCATTAAAGTTGCCACAAATATCGCTCTTTACAAGACTAAAATAGAATGGAACAAAGTGATAATTATTTTTCAACTGCCCTGATAAAACAACAAGAGAAGTACACATTAAGATAGTACACCTGCCCAAGTTTTCTTCTTTTAGCGCTGGAGGAAAACACTGCCCTGCTGTTATTAACTCAGCAAAACCTTGCTGGTGAGCAAAAGCGTAACCAGAGCGCACAGAACCTTGACGGCTGCGACGATTTGCAGCGCTCCGAACAAACACTCTGTAATTTTACAAGCTTTCTAAGTTTTGCCCTAAAGGTTTAATCTTATACTGCTAAATGTCTGTAAGATTGCCTCGTAAAAGGTGAGTTGTTCAAGATGTCGTATACTTATTTAATAAAATTTGATTTCAACTAATCAGCAGCGGTTCAGAAAGTAAAAGATTTCTTTGAGTTTAGAGAACCACTATAAAAAACAAATGAAAAACTCAATTGACTAACTTGCGAGTCGGGGCTGGAGCTAGCTTTGGGGGTTTCTTTAACCTCTTATCCATGCGCAAGCAGTCGGCATACGTCGGACGAGTGTCAGACCAGAAGAATCTGTTTAGTATAACCGGTAAAAGAAGAATAGCGGAGATCATCAAAATGCTGAACCAAAAGTGCGGCGTTCCCACAGAGCGAAAAACAATGCCGCAAGACAAGGAAGACTCAAGCTTTATCGTCACATTAACCGGGATTGCTGTAAGTTCTCATTCTTAACAATGATTAAAAAATTAGCTAGCATAGGGAAAAATTCTCTTCAGAAAGTCAAGCGTTACCTTCATAAAGTAAAATGACCACTGCAAAGTAAAATAAAAGAGATCCCCACAAAGAAACATGGTTATATACAGTCCAAAACCCGGTTTCGAAAGCCATCTGTCCAGTGACGACAATGATTAAAGCCGTGAATGTTGTAAACGCCAATAAAGGATAATCATTCATATCGCGTCCAGTGAAATCAGCAGCGTTGTATATCGTGCCGTACGAAACAAAGAAAATCACTATAGAACTGAAAACAACGTTTCTATTTTAAAACATTACAACAGTTGTCCTAAAACTGCTCTTCCTTTTTGAATGTAACATGAGCAGACCTAATCATTCCGTGTAGAAGAGACCAAATAAATATTCTCATGTTAAAAAATAAGTTATATTGTCCTGGAAGGTATAGCCGAGGATGGTGCAGGCTGTCTTCATCGTTAAAATCTTGATCGAAAATACCCAATGCTAAGACGGGAAGGCATGTAAACAGCATGTTATAGCAAGCAACCAGTGACGGATCGTATACGGTCTGCAAAAGCTTTTGTTGTAACAACTGGAAAATACTGCAAAAACAAACTCATTTCTATTTGTAGTATTTTTGCTTATGTGCGAAAGAAACAAACTTAAAAACTTTTTTGGGTTCAAATGCATTAAAGCATAAATAATGAAACGACCTTTTCAACTTAATTCATCAAACTTTTCCCTTAATAAACTTTACGTTATAAACCGCGAGATGCAACAACTATTCTCATTCACACTTCACTACCTTACTCGGCTAGAATATCACAATATTACTTAACAGGAAAGAAGATTTTTTTCAAAATGAACTTGCAGAAAAGTGAAGTCAGAGCGACTGTTATGCCAATTGGAAATTAAAGTAAACTTTTCCAAACCAAGTAAAGTCAAAATTTAAGTGCAAAACTGACTACTGTTTAATTGTAAAATGATTCTTTTTGAAACAAGATGTTAACATTCAACTTCGCTTGAACACAGAAATTTGAAAAACCAGCTTTATCGTCTGGCATTCAAACAGAAAAGAGCGTACTTTGCTTCCTCCAAAATACAAGCAACTTATCCTTTACTTTTTTATACTTAAGCAGTGTTGCAAATGAACCTTTTGTTTCGTCGTAGACCAGTCATTTTGAGCAAACAAACAGTGTCAAGTTCTCTATTCACCAACTTTAGAATGTTCTAACTCTTATTCTCATAAGTGTCGCCGCGCAGGTTCTGCATTATGCAGCGATGGAAGGGGCTTCCAAGTGTATAAAAGCAAAATTTTTGCATCTCAATAGTCAATGATCACCACAGGTGGTCACACAGTAAAAAAAGTTTAATGAGTACGAAAACCTAGCGTTTTTTTTAATATGACTCCAGGTAGACTAATCCTCATTGCTAACAATTGCTTCTCTCTTTCTATCTACCCTACTCAAACGCTTTGTCTACTAAAGATTGAAAATAAAGTTTCTGGAGGTTCTCAAAAAAAAGTTGCTTATCAAAAAGTTTCTGGTTTTTATGTAGTGATCTTACAACCAAAATCAGCATTTTTTGCTTTTCATTATATAATACCTGTCTATCTTTTCTTGAATTGAGTGCGTAATTATTTTGGAACTCATTAGAAGACAATGTAAAAACAACAAAAATGTGCATAACAGATTTTTGTGCAGGATGAATTTGAACTTTTTTGGTCGCAAAAAGGATTTACATCTCTTTTACAACAGTTCGTCAGAAGTGCAGTTTTTAAAAACTTGTGATTCATAATTGCACCCCAAAACTGGTTTTTTGGTGAGAAAGAAGTGTGTATAAAAGTTTGAAATTATGCAGGTACGATGAGTTTAATTAACCGCGTATACAAAAAAAAAAAAAGTAGAATATGAGTGAAAGAAATTTAAGTTTTGAGTGAGAACATTACGATTCAGAAGCGTTCAATTTTTCATCTGTATGTCAGCGTACCGTGAACATTTTATATCAGTTCAAAGCGTTTTAAGTCAGTCTTTTAGCAAAAGTCATGGTGCTTTACAATATTATGGTGCTCTGTAAATCAGTTTTAAGCCAACTTGTTGTTTTTATAATTTTAGAGACGTTTAAGCAATACGAAGATTATTAAATTAAAAACATTTCATTTGGCAAAGGGTGTTCTCGTCTTTCCCAACTAAAATAGTACAATGAAATACTTAGCTTTCAGACCATTCTAATGGCTACAAATTATTTTAATTAAATACTTAGCTTTTAGACCTTCTAATGACCAAAAGTTAGTTTCAAAAAGAGCATCTTTGGCAAAAAAATTCTCAGAATCTGCAAAGACTCTGTTAAAAAAAAGTTAACTCAAGCAAAAAATAAAAAATAATTTCAGAAACATTTTCCCTTGCAGTCAAAATAGCAAATTTAAATGGTTATTTTCTGAAAGATTTCAAAGACTATAAGCTGTTTCCATAACTAAAATCCTGGATAAACGAGATTCTTTTGAACTACTTCAGGCTCCCACAGAAAACAAGAAAATTTTGAAAAGTTGTCGAGTGATTCAAACAACGCTCTATTTTCTCTGATCGGGTCGGCGCACAATAAACCTTCACCTAAAGAGCATCTATATTACGTCAACCCATATTACGTTGGAACCACGTAAATTTTCGGTTCTTGGTAATTAGAGGTGTTCTAGCAGACACGCACCTCTTACTACCAAAGTTTTCAACAGCAAGCAAAAGATGAATTGCTCTAACTGCCGATTAGCAGGTGTGAACAAGCCCTTTTCAAAGATAACCGTCCAAAAAAATCAATAACTTGCCTAGCTGTTAACAAGTCACGAGAAACTGTACAGTTAGAAGTAGCGCAGGTTGCTTTTTTTTTGTAAGCACGCTTTTCTTATTCATTTGCTTTCACTTTTTTTGCACATTTAGTTCTCAGTCTCGCTTGGTAACATTCTCAGATTTATTCAGGTAGTCTGCAAGTTCATCGAGACCTATTCCTAAGATGTCACCTTAACTTTTTTACTATTTCACAATAACACTCATTTGCTGTGTCTATTATCACAAAAAGTATTTCCACTTCATAATTAAATAGCACTATGTTTCAACTTTTTTAAGTTTCAATTTTTGTGCTCATACATCTATAGCCGTTGCTACAGAAATGGTTAGTTGAACTTGTTCTATAAATCACAGCAGCCAGAAATAAAAAAAAACGCTGACCAAAAATAATTTTAAAAACTCTGTTCAAAGCTGTTATAGATAGGATAGATGATTTTTTTGATATGAGTGAGTGTAAAGAAATTAATCTTAGCGACATTTTCTTTCAGTCATTATCGCAACCATACACGAAATGGCAAATTTACAGTAGAAATTGATTCGCTGCTGCATGTTTCCTAATAGGAAGCTATTGCAGGAACAGCAGACAGGATGACTACAAAGGCGAGATAGGTGTATAAGTTGACAGTGACCTTCATATAAATTTAATGCCTTAAATCGATTTCAATCAATTATGTTTTTCTGTTGGCTTGTGCTTTCACGCCCATAGGCAGATTAATGTTCTTATGTGTTACGGCGTTATTAATAGGAAACGCAGTAGCGTTCATTTCTAACTGCCTTAGCAGTTATGGGCGGGAAAATGCCTTGTTTTGCGAAAGATTTGATTCCAGTAGCTTTGGCGCACTATGCCGTACGGAGGCACCTCTACGTTGAGCTAGAAAGCTCTGGGAGGGTACGGAAAACTTTTGTATTACATATATGTGGGTTTTGAAAAAGGCGTTCTTTCTACCGGTGTTTTGTCTGTAAATTTTTAAAATTTGTCGCTTTTCTATCTCTTTTCTGCCGCGATTTTAGCGGAAATTTGAGAGCATTTTGTTTTTTACGCATAACTTTTTAACTTAATTACCTGAACAACTCAGTTTGTTGCAAGTGAATTTCTGTCAATTTCCTTATCGTAGGATTCTAAGTAGTTCAGAGTTATAGAATGTGTAAAGAATATATAAGTTTTAAATCAATATGAGAAAGGTAAGCTCAGTCTAAAAGAACCTAATTTACTAATGAGTAAAAAAGTATTGAAAAAGACACCAGAAAAATAAGAAATACTAAAAAAAAAAACAGCGGATAAAAAATGGGCAGCAGTGCTACCAGTGTTTATCTTTTTAAATGTTTTCAAAAAGAAAATGGTTCTTTTTCAAGCAAAAAACTCAAAACAGCTCTTAATTTTTTGCAGCGTATGGGTAGAGATGCGATATCCCCCTTTTGTTTTTCTTCTTCTACACCATTGAAAAATCGGTAAAGGTCGGCACATAGTGGTTAGCCACAGCGGCCCTCATTCAGACTGGTGGCCCCATCATGCTGATTGGCTGAGGACGATAATGCCAGTCAGAAGCCCGCTTTTTTTATACGGTATGTGGATGCCATATACAGTATGTGTAACTCACTGATAACGGTGAAAGATACCTCCTCACTTCTCTGATGCACAGCCTACGCAACCCGTCTAGAGTTGGTCTCATACAGTTATATAGGGAACTCGGAAGATGCAGACGTTCCGCAAGTTTTCTTCTGAATCTGGAAGAAAATGAAACCGGTTGGTTTGCCCAACTGACTGGGCGTCAGATGGTCCCTTCCATCGTAAG